AAGTTTTATATTTTCCTTTGGAAGTTTTACATGAGTAGCGAAGTTTTATAAAGGATAGGAAGTTATATATTTTGCTGAAGAAGTTATATGTTTCAGTTCGGAAGTTTTATAAAACACATGATATATTATATTTGGTGTTGAAAGTTTTATATAACACAACATTAAGTATATATAAAACACGTAAGTATTATTGACACAAACGGCGCCCCATATTATATAGTTATTAATACTATTAATCTTTTGAAATTGTCATAAATCTTAAAGCATAAACTTTTTACAACACTAATTGATTGTTTCAATAAAAGAGAATGAATTAGTTGTTTGGTTTGATGTCCTTTCTTGGAGGGTTAAAAAAAAAGGTACCGAACCGATTATTTTTGATTGACGGCAGCGAAAAACCAAATTTCAACATGCAGCTGGCAACTACCAAGTTTGCAGAATATGGAAAAACGAGGAAACGTTATTCCCTTACTCCTTTCTCCTCTCAATTTCCTTTCTTTTTGCTGTGTGCGGGATTGATAAGATGGCCTGAAATACAGAGAACAATAGGTACACTTCCAGTGCAGAGATCTAATCGGCCAAACACAACGTTCGTAACGGTAGCACGCTTTACACCGAGTTTGGGCTTCCTGTGGTCAAGGCCGAGCCGATCGATTCTGCGAAAAAACGCCGAGTATGTACCGACAAAGCAACGATCGGCAAAGTTGACTTCCATGCTTGAGAGTGCTTGAGTGTTTTCAGCCTTTTAATTTTGGGTGCTACTCTAACCATATTATCCTCCATGTACGATAAATACTAGCACTATACTGTAGTTAGTGGTATTTAGAAAGTTTTCAGCGCCTCAAATCAAGTCAAAGATGGGATTATTAGAGGAGCACTTCTTAAAGCAATACTACCAAAGACCAAGTAGAGTCCCGAGATTTCAGAAACTCTTTCAGGTTTGTCACTTTAATTTGATCTTTTTAGCTTCAGCAGGACTTGAATTGACGAGAATTTAAAGCTAAGGTGTATTTTAGTAACTCAATATTCTGAATTGGTTAGAAAAGGTTCTCTGTGTGTTGGTACTGGGCCAAAACACTATTTTTTAAAAGCTTACATATTTAGTAATCTGAGAACTGGTTGTCCACATTAGTGAAGAGCTGCGTAGATGACTAATTTGATCTGTAAATCTATAGGTAAGATACATACATTAATATAACCCATATCCCCAAGTAGAAGGAATGCTTTATTCAAAAAAATCTGCTCTTAAAGGGAAGGGTATAGGGGCTATAGCCTAAATGTGCTATTTGAGTATCAATCAATAACAAGGGCCATAGTTGTAGGGGCTCTAGCCTATAGGTGTAGGTRATATTTAGGTGTAGTATCAGGCGAGTAGAGGGCAAACAAACAACAATCCGTGAAACACTAATTGCTAAATAGTACAAAATAGTGCCAATTAAACGATAGAAAACAATGGAATTTGCATGAAATTGTGCTATTTAGTATTACTAAAGTTTCACGCATTTGAGTACTGTATATGTATCAATAAAGTCATTCTCACTTGCTTCCATGATCTCTTACAGAAAGGTGATCTTCCAATTTTCCTGAAGGGCCAATCAGATATGCTAGTGTATAAAGGTGCAATGGGTCTGTCTGTTGTGGGTCTCGGTATAACATTCTATGGTCTGTACTTGATGGCAACTAACCAAATGAAGAAAGCAAAGTAATACCAAAAGATGAAGTTCTTCCATGGAGCCTTCACCAGTTGACATGCAAAGAATGAACTTTTATTTGGAGATTTGTTAAATACTGTATAGAGTACATACCATATATCCGTGAAAAAATTTACTAGAACAATTTTACAAATCAGTGCAAAGTTTTGTAGGTCTATGGATACCGAGGCCTACTGACCTTACTAATTTTTTTACAAAGTTTTTCATGGATATATAGTTTGCACTTTAACTTAATCCTTTTAAATTGCAATTCTTTGTCATTCATCAAGGTACATACTTGTAGAGTACAAACACTATAAGTGTGTAACATAAAAACTACTAAATACTGCTAAATTATGCTAATCCTATTGTTTTCTGTTGTTTAATTAGCACTATTTACTACTAAATAGTGCAAAGTGTTGCACACTTTTAGTGTTTGTACTCTATGTGAGTGAGTTACTAATTAATTTAATTAACACTTAAGATTTTGTGAAAAAACTTGGATCATTTCATTTGTGAAATAATTGCGTGTGTATAGTGTTTTGGCTGTCATAAAATTATAGAACCATATTAACATTTTTTTTGGAATTCTTATTCAAGTTTAGTCACTTCTAGTTCCTCCTCATTTTTGGCATGTAGATAACAAACTGTTAAATAAAATATTTTTAACTCAATATAATTCAGCTTTCATGTATCTTTCCATGCACCTTCAGACTTTTCTAAAAATATCCCTTACCTTTAAAAAAGGATTTAAAACAGCAGTATTCTCAAGGATTTTGCTGCAATTTTCGATATTCTGCTATATTCAATATACTTGGTAGATGTTTGCAGCATGCTGAAATTTGATTTTTCGCTGTCGTCAATCAAAGATAATCAGTCTGTAGCTTTTATATTATTATGATTGGCAGCAGTGGAAAATAATTTCACAACAAGCTGTTAAATGTTGGAGTTTGCAGAATAATGGCAAAAATGGCACTGAGTAGAGTATGAAGTAATTCAAATTCCCCATTTTCCATACATTGGTTGACTGGTCAAACACAAAGCGCTCAAGCAAGGTGCTAAGGTACTTTCAAAGGATCATTCAAATTTGAACCTTGCGACCTCGACTTAATGCTTTGTGTTTGACCAGTGAACCGATGTATGGAAAATGGTAAATAATGAAGTAATCCAGTGTCTGGCCTCAAATTCTGTAGCCTTATTCACATTCATCATTAGTGTTTATTATCTGGAACCAACATACGGACATTCCTTCATAAGGACATACCTTACGAAAGAAAGAGGAGCACATACCAAAAAGGGCTTTGTAATGGAACCCTTGAGGAAGAAGGATAAAGGTTGGGAAGCCACTACAGTCATGGATGAGGTCACCCATGGCAGAACTGAAGAACGCAAGCATCACATCTAAAGAGGCAAAGAAAACAGCACAAAGAATGGAGTGAGGCGGAGGACAATGATGGAGGGCCTATGTTCCTAAGGGAACAAACAAGACTAATAATCTGGTACCAACACAAGGGAGACTACCAGGGGGGGGGGTACTCCCCTATATTCGCTATACAGGTACGTGCCGCCAAAAAGGGTATGAATTTCAGCGATTTTCCTCTGGAACAGGGTATATAAAATTGCGCTCACTCTGGGACAAGGTATATCACGCTCTCTCCTCTCTGGAACAGGGTATCCATTTTCGCAATACCGGAACAGGGTATGATTTTCAGCGATCTTGCTCTGGAACAGGGTATGAATTTCAGCAATTTTACTCTGGAACAGGGTTCAGAGGGCTCAGTGGCACATCTCCACCCTAAACCGGCAAGAGTACCCCCCCCCCCTCCCCACAGGGAGATTACAATCTCTGTGGACAATAAAGACTACCTCTATGGGCAGGGCTTAAAATAACCACCAACAAGATGGCTGGTGGAAAATTCATGGATTTTTTGGGCTCTGAGTGTTGAAAACAAAAGATGTATGCTACTCCCTCTGAAAACGTAATCCTTGAAAATTTTCCTTGAAGCTATGTTATTACTAGTTTTTAATCAAGTGAAAATCAACCTCCAGAAACAGAATCTGTAAGTTGAAAGAATTAACGAAAATGAGAGAAAATATCGGATTGAAAAGTCATAGTGTGTCCTAATACTGGAACACTCCTTATAAATCATGTAGCATGGATACTAAAACACACAGTCAATCAACTAATGTAAACTTCAAATGTGTACAATGCTGCTACATTCCTTGATTACAGACTCACTTAGGATTAGCTTCATTTTACTGTCAATATTTACGAATAACAACGGTAGAGTAAAGAATGCATACATGCAACAATATAAACACTTTGGAATTCCATGTACACTGTACCATCATTAGTGGAATGTGAGAATGTAGACCTTTCACTTTGTTTTCCCATGTCAGACCATGTGTCATGCCTTAAGAATAATGGCACTTTCCATAAAGTCAAACCAATCAGTCTGAATGGCCAGTTCTCATGCATCAGTTCTAAGAATCTCATTGGTCCAGTTCTAAGAATAGTCCCCTTCACAGTTCCCTGCACCATCTTGAAAGTAGTCATGCCTTTGTATCGAAGCAAGACAAATGGTGAGCTTGCAATGATAGAAACGTGAATAATTGTCCAAGGTGTTAAAAAAGGACTCTATCCTTGCAAGCTCACCGTTCGTCTCACTTCGATGCAAAGATGATGCAGGGAACTGTGAAGGGGAGTATTGATGTGTCCCATATTGAAAATGATGGAGCAGACTACATTTGATTTTCCTCTTTTTTTATTTTTATTTTTTTTGTATTTATTAATTTGACCAATAAGTAGGTTTAGACTAAAACATTAATTAGACCTCTCATCTAATAATATGGTGTACTAATTTTACAACTTTGTTTCATGGGCCAATTAAAATCCATATACCTGAGACAATAAACAAATGAAATAAGCAAACAAACAAAATATTTAAATATATTTTTATTCTCAACAAGACTTGTTACAACCATCAAATCTTTCAAAAAACACAATATTTTGAGTAACAGTATTTTTAGAACTGATTTAAAATCAAGAACAAAATAGAAGAAGCCATCACTCTTTACACTACGTTGTTTATACTTTTTGTTACACTGTTACTTAGCAAATTGTTTTTACTTTTTCTTGGAAAGATGATTTGTTGCCATCATAACCACAGTGCCAAAAGTAATGCCGAGGCCAATCAAAGAGCCAACCATAACACCCCTGGAATAAAATCATAGTTAAAAAAATAATATTTGATAAGGGTAAGCATGATAAATTATCAAGACCAAGGCTGTGTTATCTCCCAAAGTCTTCGGCTGAGGGGGGTAAAACAGCCAAGTTCTTGATAATTCATAGTATCCTGCAAAAACTAAATTCAAAAATAGTTTAAAATACATTTTGCAAAATGGGAATGAAGACTTGGTTTACTGTAGCTTCTATTTGTAATCTGTAGTGAACACAAAAAACAGGTACTCTTTACCTTGGCCCCATTGAATAAAAGTATCATTCTCATACCCCAAAAATCGAAGGCTCTGGTAACACACAAACCAGAAGACCCAGATTCTAGGTCGTCAGATATGCACATGCTCCACTTATTCACTTATTTAGCAAACCAGAAATAAATGATTATGCAAAAAATTTAAACCAATCAAATTAACGGTCAATTTGTGTGTTACCAGAGCCTTCAATTTTTCATAAGAAAGTTGAGAAGGCTTTGGGTAGGAGAATGATAAAAGTATGATATCCATTTTCAAAATTATGAAGAACTCTACTTTGAATTGTCTGGGAAACGTTTTGGCTTCCATTAGTCAAGTTTCTAACTGTCTGAGCAGGGAGGTGGGAGGGAGGTGTTAGTAATTTTGTGATTGACAGGAGCCAAAAATCCAGATGTATTGGGTTGTGCTGGTCATGTACTTATGAAAATACATGTAATAGTTTCCCCTGGAGCCAGTCATTGTGTTCATTTTTTCTACTTGTCTAAGGTAGCTTTAGCACCAACCTGTAAAGAGACATGTCACTCTTCCCTAATAGATGAACTGGAATTTCACCAGGCTAAGGAAACAATAACAAAATACTCTACATTAATATACAGAACGAATATACGAATATAAAAAAGTTCTCACATAGTTTCACTTCAAAGACTGTATAAGACGTAAGCTTATGTTTTCTAGCTAAAAATCATATTTAACTTCCTCTTAGCTTTCTTTTGAATTGCTTGAATTTAAAAAGGTAACTTCGACTGTTTCCTTCAAGAACGGACGAATAAACAAAGTGCATTCCTTAGCAAGACATTATCATGTTTAAGCAGATTAGAAAGTGAAAAGAAGTAATCTTTAAAAAGACAAATGAGAAGAAAAGTCGTTGTAAAATAACAAAAATCTTTTGCTACGTTCCTCATCATTTTGGGGCAAGATATAGGACAATAAATAAAATAAAGACTCAAAATACCTTGAATAGTTTCTGTACACGCCTTATCTTGCTTAAATGGTCGTACATCATTCCTTCATTTGCTATATCTTGGTTTATTTTGTTAGCATAGTTTTTACGGACACCATCCATATTGGTTTGCCTTCACAGCAAGGCCGACCCAGGTCTTCTTCTCGCTTCTTGGTTGTTTCATCCACAGGGAACCCAAAACAATCTAAAACCGGACTTATTACTATGCAGTAGAATTTCTGATCTTAGGTAAAAAATGTGCTTCCTCTATTTATTAGAAATGTTTTGAATCGTTTTCATATGATTATCTACATATCTATAYTTTTTCTCACTGGACTCTGAAGATAACTTTCTCTCAGGTTGTCGAAAGGTCAGTCACCACCTGGACGATCACATCCCGGGGGGTACTCGGCCAGAATTTGGGTTGGGGTGTTCCGCTGGGATTCTGAAAGGGGTACCCTGTTTATAATAAAAGATATAATTTATTGCACTGAGTTCCTGTTTCAATTATCATGTCATCTCGCGTATCGTTTTTTTACGGCCATAAATGACCAGTTTTGGTCAATACGAAAGTAGAAACCCTGAATATGACAGGAAACTCAAGAAGAACTTGGAACTTGAGTGAAATTGCATACCCTGTTTATGACAAGAAGCTCAAAAAACCATACCCTGTTCAGGGGATCATCCCCGTATAGTCCATATGTGGGAGTATCCCCCCCAGGGATCACATTTCACAACGTACTCTAAGCCCCGCTATTCTTCCTGCCCTGATGCTCAATCAAAATTCGTCATGCTGATCAAAGCCTGGGAAATGGGGAATTGGGGGTAGGAAGGACCCTCTCCCTCATCTCCTCTCGCCCTCCCCTCCTCATACCCCCACATTGGAGAGCCACTTCGCAGTCTTTGCTCAGCATTTTGTCAAGCATGTGTGATAAGAATGACAGGGCTTTGTTGCCAAGAATAGAAAGTTGTTAAAGGGGAAAAAAGTGAGGAAGATAGTAGGGAAGAAAGAGAGAAAGTAAAGAAACATATACAAAAATAAAGATTACGGGTGTAACATAACATTTGGATTGAGTTTGTTTGATGTGTTGGTTCTCTCCTATGCTACGAGGTTTTTCTCTGGGTTCTCCGGTTTTCCTCCCTTCGTAAAAATCAACATGAGTTGAGTGTTGTGTGCATAGAACATTGAATGTAGTGGTAGTGTGTGTGAGTGAAAAGTGTCCCCAATGAGTGTGAAAGCGCTAGAACGACTAGGCACTTAAATGAAGATTTAATTTAATTTTTTTAAATTTTATTTTATAATTTTTTTTTTTTTTTTGCAAAGTTAAATTTCCTATAACAAGGTATGCTTGATATCTAAAATATTAATAATAACCATTAAATGATTTAACTTATGTACAGTAGCTCTACCTTGACATCATGGTGCAGGTCCGTTTATAACACTTTGCAGTAAATAAAAATTTTTTTTAAATGAATAAATAATTATGTTAACATAAGTCACACATTTGATCAATGCTCATGCACGCAGGAGCTTAGCCAGGAGGAGGTCCAAATTCAAAAACTATTTTGTTTTAAAAGTTTTATTCTTGCAAAACACAACAAAAACTGCAAAATTACTATATAAATTATAAAAGCCACTATTTCCTTGCCATGAAGAGGGGAGGGGGGCTGGCTCCTTGGCCCCCCAGCCTACATCCCTGACATGGATGTTTTGCTTCTTAAGCAATAAAAATGTATTAGAACCGTATATCATAGTTTAAAATATTCAGTATGGTTTATGTCTTTGATAACTACTACATTAGGGGCTTCAAAGTAACTCAGAACAGTTGAAAATGTGGTCGTCTAAACAAGTAGTGTAAAGTGTCAATTTATTATTCTCGTTGGATTTCCTCAAACATTGATACAGCACCTAAAATGCAAATGTACAAATGATAGAGGAATTAGTAAACTAATCCCTGCTGTCATAATCGAATTATATCAAGGGTGGATTTAGGGGGTGGATTTTGAGTGGCTATAATATATTATTATCATTCACCCCCTTTGGAAACAATGCAAAACAGGTCATCAAAGTGAATGACCATTACAAGGGTCTATTTTTGGGTCTTTCAACTGAAAATTGGCAGTTTACTAGAGGCATAAATCCTGACAATATTTTTTGGTGGAACCAAGAACATTGACGATCATTGATGACTATCAAGTGCTCTAGCTACCACAACCACAAAGTGGATTAGACTGTTTTCATTGTTACTCACTGATAGGGAGAAACCGATTGAGACAACCTCTTGCAACATACATTAGTTAATAAATCAGGCAATAAACTACCATCAGTCAAATTATCATTGTATAAAGTACATAAAGGTACATGGAATCCATTGGAATGATTTATTTGATTGACAGAAGTTTGTTGCCCATTGCATTAACCAATTGCAGCTTTTATCTAAATCAGCATGTTCCAACGAAGCTAGTGCTAAATTCACATACTTGTAAATCTTTCTTCAGGCGTTGTAGGGAACTGTACTAAACACACTCTGGACATTAGGTTCCTGACAAATGATGTTGAACTACCATCTTTACAAATAAGAAAAAAATATATTAATATTATATATAAGGGGGTTCACAAAATTAAAAAGCTGCATGCATCTTTTTAGCAATTAAGCAATGATTTTCTTTTGCAAATAAATTCCAAGTTCAAAAATTGTAGTTTTTAGAGTGCATGGCCATCTTTGAACATCCCCTAAACCTACCACTGACACATACACTACATGTACAATGAATTCATCTTATACAGAGAATTTAAAACTGGAACATTGGATTTTGACCTTCAAAGGGTCAAAGAAAAAAAGACTATAGGTTATTCAGCTGTCAGAGCTGTTTTGGCCCACTGTCAACACCTGGCAGTTGCACAGCCCACAGCGAGTCAACAAACAGTCAAAAATAGGCCGACAGTTGGTTGATAGGTATCTGAGTGTTGATTTTGTGTCTTACTATTTTGGGTGATATCATGGACAAATAATTAAAATACAATCATTAATTCCTATAAAGCTACTTAGAAAAGTTACCTGCACTGCCTATAACCCCCTTCAAGGTGGGTTCTTCAATGAAAACTCTATAAGAGTTTTTTTCAAAGCAAACATTCTCTTGAGGAACTTCTTCTCTCTCTTCATCAATGGCTTCTTCTTGAATTCTGCTGCAGGCTTCCATGACCGACTCATCATTTTCTGCTGTAATATTTGGAAAATTAAAATCTGCATTAACAAATTAATAATTATAAGGTTTTGCAAAAGGCAATGTCTAGTGAGGACAATTTGCAATCCATATAAAAAAAGAAAAAGAAAAAAAAAAAAAAGTTGATGAATGGATGCTTGTCACTATAATAAATATTACCAAAGTTGCCAATTTTGATGTATGAAATCAATCATGCAACCACCTTGAGGTTATTAACAAAATAAATATTTCTAGAAACTCATATTGGTATAGAGTAAAAAAGCCATGGAGATGACCATGAAGGTACTGTGGTTTTCACTACTCTGTGAACGTCGACATTTCAATATCTAGTTGTTGCTGTCAGTCAAGAACATAAAAGGCGATGACTGATTAATTTTGATTGACAGCAGCAAAAAAAAAAGAATATGCAGCTCTAAACCACCCTGTTCACAGAATATTGAAAGCCACAATATTAATTATGGCATGGTCAAAAAAAAAAAAAATTAAGCAAATTAAACAAAAAATAAACAGTAACCAATATGCAATACAACTAAAGCAATGTTATACCAATGGATAAAGATCAAGATATATATAATTTATTATTATTTAAATTAATTGTAAAGTTAAATTCTCAGAGCTTAAAATAATGGCCTGTCATACGAAAACTGGAAAAGCAACTTTGTTGTTCAGTCAAATCTTTGACCTTTTGATCAGTAACATTGAGCCAGAAATGAGGTACGACCAAGCTAAAATTAATTTGGCCAGTCATCAGGATCGGCAACTACATGAGCAGCCATTATTTTTAGCACTGCATCTGATTCTATGTTGTTACCTATTGTATCAGATTCCCTTGGATATCCTGCTTCAAACAAAATCTCCAAAGCATCTTGTCTTTCAATAGACTCAAGACCTTTAACAAGCTGTCCCAGGGTTATTCCTCTTTCACTCATTTTCTTAAAGATCCCCTCTGCTCGGTTTCTTCGGTATCTGGTAGTAAGGTATTCTATTTCATCTTGTTTCAAGCTGGGGAAAATGTGACACGCAAGATTCTTCCAGTCTGACTGACCAAAGCTGAGTTGCTTTTCAAGTTCTTGATAAACTTTAGCAGGAACATCAGTTAACCGTTGTTCTGAAGAAATTATTGAAAATAAAACAAGACATTATCACGAAAAGTACCGACTGTTTATTGATATCCACGCCACCTTGTTGTGGTTGGAGAGCTTGCGTTCCCCTATAACCCCTATAGTGCTATGCTGGCAGGAGTTTTGTCTCCTAGTAGGGTCACCCAATCTAGACAGGTCGAAGAGTATAGAGGCCAGACAAAGCATGATTGACTGCATGGTCATACAGCTTAGGGGGTTGGGCACAAGACTAACAACCCGGTCTTGTAAAACAATCGTGTTACGGAAACAGCAACAAAGGAAAAGAGCTATTACAACTTCATCGTTTGTTGCCAGCAGGCATAATAGGCGGTAAGTAAGAAAATTATCAATACCCATGCAAGGAAACATTTAAATTAAAGGATTTGACCATTGTTGAAAAACAACAAAAAGTTAGTGCGGTTTCCTGCAAATAGCTGTTCTTATTCCATTAATTATTTAATGTTATTATCAATATATACATATATATACCTGGTCCTTGTAACAATTCAGACTTATTGTAATCGTCCCCAAGTGGATAACTAATGGCTTTATTATGTCGATGTGCACTGCAACTTGATTTGTGGTATTTTCCTGAGAAATGAGACCAGTAGCCATCGATTAACAACTAAAAATAGCCAAACTCTTAATAATACTCCTACCACTGCCAAACACAACAGCAAAAAAGTATTTTACAATAACTTACAAATTTCTTGCGCACTGATTGGTCAATTTTTATCATCAATAAGAGGACAGACAGATAAAGCTGATGTCAACGAGCGTGCGCTCTTTCAGTTGGTTGTTTTGATCACTAAAAATGAGAATTTTTCCTCGTTTTTGTTATTGTAAAATACAAATAGCCATCAACTTTTTATGTGTCTGTCCTCTTTTTGACAATAAATTTCGTCATCACATTGTCAAAGAGTATGCGGATCCACTCGGCTACGCCTTGTGAATCCACACTACTTTGACAATCTGATGACACAATTTATCGTTAATAAGAGGACAGACACATAAAAAACTGATGTCTATTTGTTAATTAGCAAACAGCTACATGTAGTGTAGACAGCTGCCAGTGAACGGGCCAGGCACATCTGAGCAGCAATCCCAGTGCAATACCTGTACCCCGGTGAATGATTACTCATGCAATTCAAGCTAAGGATGTGAACTAGAGTGATTTTACTTCTTACTTCACTTGGCAAGAATAGTCAACACACAGTAACACAGTTTTATAGACACAAATTCCATTGTTTTCTTTTGTTTCACTTGGACTGTTAGTCACTAAATAACATTATTTGGTTTCACGGACAAAGTTAAATCAATCTATAATGCTGTATACATTTCCTAGTTCTGAAGGGGAGCATACCAATAACAATATATAGACAAACATTTTAAAGATTTTGAGTGTGAATCAAGCTTACTTGATATTGTTGCAGTTGCTCCTGGTCCACATATTGCATTGCCTCCATTATATACTTTTACATTGAATACTCCACCTTTAGCTTTGCTATGATCTTTCAAACTCGCTGCAAGAAAATTTTCAATTAGAATAATAACCATGCAGTCTCAATAAAATGCTATTTCCAAAGCTGCTTCATAATAAAATGTTATTGTCAGTTTCCCAACCAGACCAGTTTTTAAGTGTACTATTTTACAGAATGTTTTCTTTGTCCCCCCACCCCCTGCCTTTGCAAAAATTAATTTCTATGATCCAATAGGATTATCCACTTGCATTTGGAAGAAGAGCAACTGCGGAACCACTGTAGTTATTCCCTATTCTATTTATTTATTTAAACAAGCATACATATATTAGACTCAGTCACAGACAGAGTGCTTATTTTCTAACTCACAGTTTTATTAACTAGTAAGTCTTCATTAATTGCCCTAATTCACTATGACGTCACATCAAAACAATCTTCAACAATCTATTGTTTAAACACAAAGGATCATGGTCGTCGGACGGGGTCAAATCTACGGAAAATTCACCAAAAATTGTCCTAAAACCCGTATCAATCCACAAAGAGAAGTAGAATAGCCAGCAAACACTCTTAGTATATATTAACACATATTATATCTGAAAACCAGGCCAATTTAGATTAAACTGTTTTGCTAGGAGCAAATTTTGTTGAATTTTCTATTGGATTTGGCGATTTTATCCCCCACATAAACAAGCAGTGACGTCATAGTGAATTAGGGCGATTATCATACTCAACACATAGTCAGCAGCTCTAAGGTATGCACTTGTAACTAAGCTTAATGGAGGGGGAACCCCCAGAGTGATTGTGTCACTCAGTTCAGAGCCTTTGTTTCTTACTATTCATGAGGAATGTCATTGAAGAAAACTCCCCAGTACCTTGGGATAACTTGTAAGTCTCAATGACATGTCAGATAGAGCTAAGTATATCTAAGTCAAGTAATAAATGGTTTTTCTTTGTATCGATCTATTTATACATATTTTGCAAATATCTGTTGCAATCAATAAAATGCAATACACACAAAATATTGCTAAAAATACATAGTGGAAGATAATATGATGTGGCAAATTGTCAAAAAAACAACTTAAGTAAAGCTGATTTGGGGGATTACCCTTTATACATTGTGGTCAATATTTTGCACTTAACATTTGCCTGTTAAGCACAAAATATAAAAAATTCAATCAAAACTCTGAATGTTTTTGAATTTCACTGCACAGAAAAGTTGTAAAATGAGAAAGAAAATATAACATTGTTTCAAACGTTCATTCAATATTTTATCTAGTAATTTTTTTTTTTCCATTTTTGGACTGTCAACTTTTCGAAGCTCATACAGAAAACCTCTTAGATGAAATTATTATGATTGTATTCTAGCTTTGGAAGAAGAAAAGTTTCGGATATTTCAAGAAAAAGGGAACATAAAAATTATTCAATCAATAATTGACTCAAATCAATAAATTACTTGTGTATTATTACAATTTTGATATAAAGAATTAGGCCTAAGCAAGCTTGTAATATAGACTATAATGTGCCCAAATAGTTAGTAGTACTGTAGCATTGGTAATCTATTAACTCATATATTCTCCTATAATTACGTAAAGTCTTATTTCAGCGATTGAACTTCTAGTACAKAAGTCTTACTCACCAGAACTCATAATTTGCGCAGGAAATAAACTTTTAGTAACCACAAATGAAGTGTTCAGTCTGGTTTCGGGTCTTTTCGAACTTGAGATTTAAAAAAATAACAACTGTATACTGTACTTATAGAGAGGAAATGTTAAGTAACTACAAAGAGTTCTAGCCACACAATATATACTTTAAATCCCAACGTCAAGGGAATTCCCCAGAAGCTGTAAGAAATATAATTATTTAATATAATTCAACGCACTGGCATCAGAAGTTAAAAATAGTATACACTCACTTTGCATTTGAAAATACTTTCACTTTACATTATATGTCCCGATATGGGAAGAACAAACACAAAGAAGCCATTCTTTCGCAGATAACCGGCAAGATTGGGTGACCAAAATGTATAATGTCTTGTGTCTCATGTTTAAAGTAAGGGAAAAAAACGAAAAGCAAGTTAACTCATGCGGTTTTTGCCGATTTTTACTGTTTTCCTAGGATTAATTTTGGCGCTATTTTCACAACCCGATGACTTTCCGAGAACTTCTGACGTTTGACCAATCATAGCCTGGCCTTTAAGGGTATTAGTCCCCTGTCCATCCTTAGTTACCTCCCCAAAGTGCTATTTTTTGGAGAGAAAAAAAATGAAATGAAATATCTTTATTTCATGGGTATTTTTATCTATTTTGACGTTTGTCCATGGTATGACAATGCTTGCCTCTGAAAATAAGACAAGTATCCTAATGTAAAAAGGACAAAAACGTAAACCATTTCCGGTCCTCCGAAGAAAAATTATCCACATCCCGAAGTTGACACAGGCAACACTAGCTCACTCTTGCTCGAATTAAGGAAAACTATTTTAATATCTTTTTGATAACTATTTTAATAACTATTTTAATAGTTAAAAAACTTTTAAAAAATCGATCCTAGAAGAATTTCTCTTGCGTTTATACTTTAGGTTCCTGCCCCATATTTTTTTCTTTCTTTTTTTTTTATTAAGAAACACATATAATTTGGAAAAAAAGGTCATGACTAATGCATTCATTTTTTTTTTTAAATTTATACTTCCACAACATTATGTGCTAGCAAGGGGGAAATTTCTGATTCAATCATCAACGTCCTAAAATTTACCTTAGAAATAAATGTGACTTCATAGGCTTGACGACACCTCTGCAAAACGTCTGCGCATGCGCGAGTTTATATATTTCAAAATGGCGGATGGCGCGCTTCGAATAGAATAGAATAGAATAGAATACCTTTATTTAAACACGATAAAATTTAAAGCTAAAAGCTTGTGGGGTCGTGCATAAAATAAATTAAATAAATGAAATATAATATAAGTATGAATCTGTAAAAATATAGCTAATTAACTTAGATAACTTTAAATATCTTATATATAATTCTCACACACATTCACATACACAAACTGCGCAAGCTATTAGA